CACCCGACTCCTCTCCAGGAGGCTGAGGCGGAGTGTGTTCGCATCAGATCTTTTAAAGCGTGTGGCAATCACGCATAACGAAGAATTCTGAAGTCGCTTCTACTGCCTATTGGTTTGAGAAGGTGACCTACCAGTCCCTGGATATTCGAGTGGGAGACATTAATCAAGCATTCCTTTGTCAGTGTTAGTTAAATATAGTTAAATGATCCTATCTGCCTGGGCTGTTTAGACCTGTCAGAAGTAATCTGCCCCTTCTTGAGGATTGCCAAACAGGTTTTCATCCCAAGTGACTCAGTCATTTATTTCTGTTTAAATACAAATCTTACTTACCTCTGTAAGTTCTGGCTCACCCTTAAAAACTCCACATGTACTTATCATGCCATACTGTACAAAGTAGAGAAGATTGTTACAGATTCTTCTCATTTCTCTGAATACTACAAAGAATGTGGCCAAATCTTCCTCTGGAGAGTTGGGCAGAGAAAAATGTAAATTGAGAGCAAACCACAGAGATAGCAAATAAGGATTCCCCAGCTGGCCTTGGAAAGATAAACTTGAATGACTTTTTATCCTTGTTCACCCAGAACCTACATCAGGAAAACAGGCATTATCTGAGGAGTGTGAAAATAATATGTCAAACAACACAGTTAAACATTTTCTGGCTTGTACCTAATGATGATTATTACTTATGATAGAAGAGAAAAATGAAATTCGCTTTCCTAATGGAGAAGCATTTTTGAAATTGAAACAAAGAACTGAGGGCTGTTTCCTTCATTGTCATAGGGACACTGGGTTTGTTTGGAGGGTGGGGATGTTCTTTTTAAGCCACCAAGTGATTTTGACAAATTTTCCTCATGTTTGTGGGCCAGGGTCTTTGCACAGAGGTATGACGGTAACAGTATGGGTCCAGCCACAGGGATTGCCAACTTCCTGTGCAGAATTGGCTTCTGGATGTAAAAGACTTTGAAAAGCTCGTAGCCTTTCACCCCATGATTTCTCTTCTATGAATCTCTCCTAATGGATTGTTTGTCAAATATTAAGAAAAATGTATGTGCAAGATGGTCTTCTCGGTCTTGCTTATAATCAAAAGATAAAGGTAATATAAGAACATGCCACCATCTTCAACAAAAACTGGTCGGTTGAATTAATTCTGGTACATCGAGAAAAAGGCAATAGTGTGATGGCAACAACAATTTTTCATAAGACTTTTAAGAACAACAACAAAAATTGTACTCATCCACACTTTTCTGTACTTCTTTCTAATATTTCCTACAAGATTGTGATGTGTCTTAGTTGTCACAGTTTCCTATTTATCTGAAGTTAATCACGAAAATACTGCTATGTAACATAGTGGGCAACACAGAACAAGTTTTCTTTCTTTAAATGTTACATGCACACTCAGTATTCATTATCCAACAAATTCCTCACCACTCAATCAAATATCTTTAATATCTCGCTGTATTTTCAAACCACCAACTGGAGTTTCTGCACTTATTCTTCTACCTGTTCTTTGTTGCAAAAAGTTAATGCCATTTGTACTACCCTCTTTGAGAGAAATATCATCTACAAGTATTTTGTCAATCAAGACCTTTACTTAGTGGTTTGGATTACATTGGAAGAGGTTCTTCCGTTAGTTGACACTTATATGAAAGGAAACTTGCTTTTTCATATTCTCATGAGAATTCCATTGAACTCAGAATCTTATTTCTGTTTATATACACGTTTCTTTTCAATAGAAGTGCTAGCCATGCGTTTTGTAATAGGTAATGTTTGTCTCACAATTGTTCATGTTGCCTGGAACAAGACTTTGAGTTGCAATGTTTCAACAAATTCTGCTCAACAAATAACTGAAGACTCTACATCAGTGAGTTTTCATCTTTGTTTTTCACTTCAAAAAGAATTATTTAAATTAAATCTCATGCTGCACCCCAATATTTTAAGTAACTCAAAGAGGACCTGTCTGATTAAACTGAAAATGGGGCGCACCAGAGCTGAGTGACCATACAATTTATTGTGCAAACTAGGAAGTTCTTGGGAGTGAAAGGAGGCACCATGAATAATTGCACTGGGGCAAAATATTTCACAAAACTTTCCTTTCTGCTTTAGGAAGATCACAAGGTCAAATTGTCCAGAAGCAGTAAAGGAAATGATTGGGAATTGGTCAGATCAAATGAAATCACCAAAATGGGGGATGGTAGAGAGAAAATACTAGAACTGAAGTCCAGAACCAAACAAATTTTACAAAAAAAAAAAAATATTTTACAGTACAGAGAGTGACTTATTTGGTCAGTTTCAAAAATGGTTGAAAAAAAAAATGAGAAAAAGATGAACCTTTCCAAAACAAGCCAAAGTTAGCTACATGGGTAACTTTAAGGGAGAAAATGTACCAATGGCAGCAAAAGCTCTTGATCTCACTCATAATTAGAGAAATGTAAATCAAAAACAAAAATGTTTTCACCTAAGAGACAAGCAGCTGTTAAAGTGTGAGGATACCTGATATTAGTTAGCCTACAAAGAAGCATCATTCCTAACACACCTGATAAACATATCATCAGGTTAAAACTTTGAGATGGCTGTTGGCAATAGCTATTAAAATAAAGACACATATTGTCTTTGATCTGGCAATGACACAGCTAAATTTTGACTTGATGTTTGCAAAGAAAAAAATGTATATATACAAGCAACATGAACTTGTTATAGTGGTAACAAAAAGAAACCCCAAACAACCTAAATGTCTATCAGTAAGGGAGGAATTAATTATATCATGAAATGCATGTCCACATGGTAGAAAGTCCTGGCAGTGCAGCCAGGAAATAAAAATGATAGCAGACTTGCACGTTCTGATACAGAAAAATCTCAAAAATATATCATTAAGACCAAAAAAAAATAAAACAACCCAGGGTCAGAACACTATAGATGATGCCTTTTATTCTGTTAAGAATTGTTGTTAGCAGCTTCTTGTAGGTACCAGTATGTGGGGGTTTTTAGGATCTCACAGAAGACCATTACCAGTTGTTTTGTCACAGAGATTAGGTAGAGAAGTGGGGGAAGGGATTGTCTTTCACTCTTTGTTTTGTACCTTTCTGTCTTGTTTGAATTTTCTTAATATGTTCATGTGCTCCTAGTATAAATTTTTAAAATGTCAACAGAGGTTATCTGTGTGGTTAGATTACCGTAATAAATATTATAACAGGTGGAGACAGCTATGTGTGGGGAAAACAAAATGGGAAGCCCAATTCAAAATATGTTCCAAACTTACAAAGTCATACCACCTCCATTAACTATGAAAGAGTTTGAAATATCATTCTCATCCTTTGCAAAATATATAGCTTTTGAGTCACCCATTTACCCAGATGTTTATTACAATGTTGAAATTACAAAGGATGCCATTCCTTGCCCTCTAGTAAGAGAGAGAGAGAAATAAGTACAGGGGTTGTGGGAGCAGAGAATATATGGTGAATATCAGCATATTCGAAAAAAGAACCTAGAATATCCATCCCAACCCTATCTTTACTCTTGAACCTCAGCAAATGGGAGAAGCCGCTGCTTCTATGGAGCCTTCCCTGATACCATTTTCTTAAAGCACAAAAGCAACCATTTTTCATGAATCCAAATTATTAGTGTTGTAACCTCCTATACCCTTCAGAAAAGGTGCATGACTGGGGAAGATTGAAGTTAGGATCGGGAACTTCTTCATACACAAGTGAGAATCTTCTAGAAACCTGCTGAACCAGGGGCATCCTCACAGAAGCCAGTGCAGACCACCAGCTAACCTGTTCTCTGGCACATCAAGTAACAAGCATGCATTGAGGGAGGAGACATCACAAACTGTTGAAACTAAAGGGACTGCCCCTTTTCTGTTCTTCCAGTTTTCTTTCTTAAAATTGAGTAGATATATGACTTACAGGATTTCTGCTATCATTCTGTTTCATGTTCTAATCAAACTTTTTTCAGAAGCAAAATAATTGGTTTATGATATTTTGTTACAGACCCTCAATTTTCACCCATTACTTTTATTTTTTATGTATTTTTACAAATGAAATTTCCTCCACAATCTAATGGCAGGCTTTGTTATTCCACCAAATTAATACTAATGCTACTCATTAGGCATCTATTGTCACCCCAGCACCAGACAAGGTGGCTCACATAAAGTCATTCTGTAGAAGAGATTTGGAAACTGAGGCTCAGGAAGACTGAGCAATATATACTCTATTAGACAACTAGTAAAAGACTGAGCTCTTAATTCAATGCATTATGGATGCTGTAGAATGTCACTAAACTTAAACTGGGTAAAGATGAATTTTCCATAAGAGTTTGGCTTCTTTTTTTCTTTAAAGATTTATTTTATTTATTTATGTATACAAGAACTGGGGTGTAGGCCAGAGGTGTGGGGAGATAAGAGGATTCACCAGAGACAGAGGTGGGAACAAAACAGAGCAGGCAAGACAGGAGAGGTCTGCTGTGCCATGTGGGTAGCTCCCTGGCTGGGGATTGAACTTGTGCTACAGTGGCTGCAGATAGCTTCATAGTATTGAGACTTAACCCCTTGTGCCACCAGATAGGCCCAAGAGTTTGGCTTCTTTATCATCACATATGGATGAGAGACTGGATTCTTCTTTATCCCATCAAAATTTTATTGATTTACCATGTGTTCACAAAAATACATACCTCAACATGTGCATACATTTCATGTGCCCTCCACCAAAGCTCCAGTGCCAAGATCCTATTGCCTTAGGCTCTCTGTCCACTCCCCCCCACCCACATTTCCCCACTACTGGATTCCACACATTGAATTGAAGTTGAACATCCAAGAAAAGACCTAAATTAGAGTCTTGTTCACACATAGAACTTTCTGCACTATTGGAAATGTTTGTCATCTGTCCTTTCCAAAGAGGTCCTCTCCATGAGTCAAACTTGGCCCCCTTCATGTGAGATGTGTCTAGTGTCATTGTGGAACTGAATTTTTAATTGTATCCATTTTTAATTTTCTTTAATTCTGATAGCTACCATACTTGACAGCATGGTTCAAAGTCATTCAAGAAACAATGAAGAGAGTGAAGTGGAGAATGAATGTTGTAAAACCACAAAAGATTGGGAGTTGAGAAAAACCTTTATGAGAACATCTCATCCAACCCATTCATTTTACACAAGTAAGTAAGGTGTGATCTGAAGAAATTAAGCAATTTGCTAAGCTAGTGAGGGGTCAGATGTAAATCCCACCTTCTAATGAATGTTAGGCCTAGCTATGGTGCAAAGAGAATCGCACAGAATTGAGTAAGTTAAGAAAACCAATGACAAGATTTTCTTTGTACTTATATTGAGGTCTGATGTAAAGAGCAAGTGGTAAACAATCCCAGGGAGGATGGATTCTCTTAACAAATCTCTACCCAAGAAATAACTTCAGGTCAAACTCTCACAGGTAGGGATGTAAATAAGCATAAAGCTAACCTGCCCGTTAAGCCCATGACCTCTTGTTAGGGAAGTACCAAGAAGCACCATGGAATTGTGTTTTGATGTCCCAGTTCCATTACAAAAAAAAAAGCTCAAACGAAACAAAATTGACTCCAAATTATAATATTCCCTAAAGCTTGCCCTCTTTCCCCACCTCTAGCCCTCAATGGGAGGAGACCTGCATCCCTCCCTCACAGAGAAGCTCTTCCATTTAATTAGGTTAATAGGTTACAGATAGGTTAATTGGGTTAAATCCTGGGCAGAGCGAAAGTGTTTTCTGATTGCTGATTGTCATTCAGTTCCCTGGAGCTTCGCTGATGTTTAGTCTACATTAGTCTATATTCTGTTCATCAGGGTCCTATTTAAGCGTGGGTCCTGGTGCTTACTTGCAGACAGGACAGTACCATTCCCCTAAACTCTTTGGTAGAGGCATTTTGAAAACAGTACTTTCAGCCTTATAAATGATTTCTTGCAGGTTTCCACTGAAACAAGTCATTTAAAAAAAAATTTATTTTTTTTTTTTTTTGACAAATGAAAGGAGGGAAAAATGCCTTTTCAAATCCAGGGCACTTGAAAGTTTCATTTTCCTGTTTTAATTTGCTTCAGCGTTCCAAGGGAATAATAATAGTTTTTTAATGCCAAAGGTGGCTTTCATCACTCAAAGCCCTCTAATTTCCTCCCATATTGCAAGTAATGTGTTAATAGTTCCAAAATGAAATATTACCGAAAACATAACTTGGTAATTTTCCTTACAGTTCAAAGTTATTTGAAAAAGAAGCATCACCTTTTACAAATATTTACTTTATGAAAATGGAAGATGCTGCAAATTATCTGCCATCGTTTCCACGCTCTCTTCTTTTTCTTTCTTTTTAATTTTTTTTTTTTGTTGCCATCTTTGAATCTTCTGTTGGGAAATGAAGAAATAAATAGCAAAAAATTTAAAAACTCTCTTTTTCTTCTTCTAATATCCGGTTCCATGTAAGGACCTAAAATCTACTTTTAAAATTGGATACTGCTCAAATAAACATAAAATAGAGAGAAAGAGAAAAGCTTGGTCTTCGCGGCTCATTATAGAACACACACACCAAAGAAAGGATGTGCATAGAGGCCATAGAGAATTTAAAAGATTTATTTATGATGTATTACTGTAATTTTTAATTTAGACATGCAAATTTTTTAATTTGCACCGACTGCTTTGCCTTAATGGTTTTGATTAATACTTGGAGGTAGTGTTTGTGAAAGAGATTTATACTGTGATTCATCTGCAAAATAATCAAATCATTACCAGCTAATGACAAAGCTGTGAAAAATGATATAGATATTGTGTAACTTCCAGCTATGGCTGAGCACGTGGAGGTACCCAATCCTTCCAGCAAATGTGGACTTGTGTTAATAACTGCTGGGAAGTTCGCTCTAGGTCCATTCTAATTTGGCAACAAAAAACATTGATCTTAATAAAGCTGTCTGATAAAAGGAGCAGTGATTAACATCCCGAACCCTCTCTTCTGCTACTCATGCCAAGGTCCCTTTTTTTTTTTTTCCAGGAATGAAATTCCCCTGCACTTCCTGCTTATCGCTCCATCTCTCCTTAGCCCTCTGTGGGTCTGCAGATAAGACGGCGCACAGCCTTAGGAAGGGGTGCAGGGGACCGGAGGGAGCAGTTCTGGTGCTGCAGGTGGCAGCTACTTAGGAAAGAAGCCTCAGCCTGGTTAATTTCCAAAGTCCAACACCCATTCCTTCCAGAAACAACACCCATTTCTCCCAGGGCTCAGAGGTACCTCCTCTTCTAGCGGGTGCTTCCTGCCTGGATTCCCTGTTCAGAACGAAAGGCCACTTGCTTTCTTACTAATCCTGACAGAGTCAGCAAAGGCGGAGGAGAAAACTCCAGAGCAAGTCCAGAGTCAGCAGAACAAACTCTCAAAGAGTATCAGGAAACAGAAGAGGCCAGGAAGTGAAAGCACACAGATAATCCCCAAATCTCATTATAATTGCTGCTTGTGACAAGATCCTCCACCATGTCTCTCACCCAAGTGGCTAACTTGAGCCAAATTGGCAGATTTGGATTTTGCCTCCTTTCTGGTTGTTCCCTGTCCCCCCATCCAACTGCAAAATGAATTTTTGTTGAGCTATTGTGCACTAGACAGTACGTCCAGACATTCCACACTCAGTTGTTCATTCACCCTCACCATAACCCCGTGACGTGGGTATTATTATTATTATTATTCCCATTGTACAGATAGGTATAGACAATAGCTCTCCCAAAGTTAATAAAAGAAAGCTATGATGTGGTGGAAATAGGTCTTTTTCTGGTTCATTCTAGCACCACGAATTCCCCCAGTCAGAACCATGTGCTGCTCTGTCTGAAGTTTCTTCTGAAGAATGAAAATACCCAAAATGAAAACAGTCAGAAGAGGGATGGCATGAGGTGGAAGGTTTTGTGTTGTTTTTTTTTTTTTTAAAGATTTATTTATTTATGCATACAAGAGCTGGGGTACAGGCCAGAGATGCGGGGTGGGGGGCTGAGAGGATTCACCAGAGACAGTGGGGAACAGAACAGGCAGACTGACCAAAGTACACTGCTGAGGGGAGCAGCCGGCAAGTCAGGAGAGGTCTGCTGCACCGGGGTTTCTCCCTGGCCGGGGATCGAACTCGTGCTGCAGAGGCTGCAGATTGCTTCATAGGTTGTGTTTTAACCCTTGCGCCACTGGGGAGGCCCCGGGGGTTTTTTGTTTTTGTTTTTGTTTTTTTTAATATCAAAACCAATCTTAGATCAGTCACAGTTAATACTGAAACAATTATATCTTAACTTATTATCAAGAAATTCAGCTCCATTTTTTTTTTATTTCAGCCCTCACAAAGGAAAAGCCCAGTGAGTTGATAATCATTAATATTTCATTGAAAACCAATCCATATTTTCTGTGATGGTGACATGGACATTCCACTTCATCAGGAAACCATTTTACAAAATTAGAAAAAGCAAGGCACTATTCTGGAAAGCAGAAGCCAAGACTACTTATCATTATTATTTATTACTTATTGGGTGCCAAATGGGTCCCCGCTGCAGAGAAGGACTCACAGAAGCCTCATGCACAGGCACGGTCCCTGTTCCCTGGATTCACAACCAATTCCGAAGGCAAAGCTGCAATGGCCCCTGCATCTTTAATTACTGGTAACTGCCTCTGCCCTGGAACCACAAAAGGAAGACCAGGGCTTCCTATCACTTTCTCAGACATGAAGACAAATGAGAAGGGAAGCAAGATGGGTAATTAATTTCAACCAGACCTGGAAGAGCAAAACTTTCTGCTGTGGTACCATACACAGCATTTATCAGGAGAACCTCTCTCCCAGCAGAGCCGGAATCATTGATTCACAGATAGGAGGCAGGCTGCCGTTTCAAGAAGAACCAGCAGAGGAAAATAAACGTAACACATGTAACACAGTGTTGGTAGCATTATTTCAGTTCAAAGTATCTGGGAGAAAAATAAGCCTGTGATTTCATTGTGTCCAGGGCCAGGAAAAGCAGGAAGAATTAAGCTCATGCATTCAAAATAAAGTTAAAATTCAAGCTGGTCATAGCAAGCCAACAGAATAAGCCTTTGGACAGATGGGGGCATCCAGTGCAATTCCACACAAGATATCATACGAGCAGTGAGGCTGAAGTGCTGAAGGAAAGGGAAATACACTTTCAGAGGTAAACTTGCATTCAAGTTGTCAGGACTTAGCAGAATAATTCCCTCTAATGCTTAGACAAATGACGCTGTGCAATTCTTGGGAATCGAACTATGTCCCGCCACTCAGTTTCCTGGAGACTCTAAAGACAGAACTGACCTCACTATAGGGAAAATTAAATCCAAAATATATTCTTTTTTTTTTTTTTAAAGATTTATTTATACAAGCACTGGGTACAGTCAGAAGCACGGGAGGGTGAGAGAATTCACCAGAGCCAGAGCGGGGAGCAGAGCAGGCAGAAGGACCGAAGCACACTGCTGAGGGGAGCAGCGGGTGGCAGGAGAGGTCTGCACGCCATGTGGGACCCTCCGGCGCTGCAGAGGCTGCAGGCAGCTTTGCAACCCAGCGCTCAACCGCGGTGCCACCAGGAAGGCCCCAAAATATATTCTTAATGATCAATGCAGAGAAGGGATATGCTCCCTGTCCGTTAATAATGTGAAGAAAAGGACTAAATTTGGTTCTGTTTTCCAAACCTGAAGAGCAACCTCAGATATTTTTAAGGATGGCCAGAGACCAGAGCATTATTGTGCACTGACTTTATTAGAACTTTTGCTGTGAATAACCACAAATATTCTAGAACCCTGTCTGTATCCAGTATGTCAGTCTCCCTTTATCATCATCTATAGTTCCAATCTGGATCATCACATGAGCTATTTTCATGCTGTCTGTTTTCTAGTTCTATCAACTGGTGTGAAGATGTGGCAACTCCTCACATATATCTACAGTCATGCAGTACAACTTTCTGAGAAGATTGAAATGTTTAACATGGCAGCCACAACTCACATGTGGCTAGTGCTGCTAAGGGAATAAATTTTTAATTTTAATTAACTCCAATTTAAATAATCACGTGTGCCTAATAACTGCCATGCTGAACAACGCTTTTCTAAACAGAGCACTGTGGATTTTCCTGAATATGTATCAGCATAGATGGGGGTGGGGAGGGTTGCATTGCTCAGACCAGACTCCCTTGCAGCTAGGAGTTGCCATATGACACAACTCTGGCCAATAAGAATGCAGAGGGTGACTAGACAGTTGTTTCCTTTCCCATCCCCATGTAAAATTTCATTTCCTGTTTATCCCTTTTGCTTTTCTCCTGCCTGTGTGCATGAGATGCCTGCACAGGTGGCAGCCATCTTAAGTGCAAATGCATGTATCAAAGTTTCCAAGGCCAGGAGTTGGAAGGGGCTAGGGCTTTGAGAACTTCCTTGAGCCATCACAATAGTCCAGGATTGCCAACCTACAGATCTCTGTAGCATGGGACAAATAAAGTTCTTATTCATTTAAGTAATTTTCAACCATGTGCCCAAAAAAATGTCTTCCTTAGTCTCGCTTGTGATTTGCTCATGGATAGCTTTTCTTTCCAGTGATTCTTTTTTTTTTTTTTTAAAGATTTATTTATTTATACAAGCACTGGGCAGTCAGAAACGTGGGAGAGCGAGAGAACTCACCAGAGTCAGAGCGGAGAGCAGAGCAGGCAGACTGACAAGCACACTGCTGAGGGGAGCAGCGGGTGGCAGGAGAGGTCTGCGCGCCATGTGGGACCCTCGCCTGGTGGCCGGGGATCGAACTGGCGCTGCAGAGGCTGCAGGCAGCTTAGCAACCCAACGTTCAACCGCTGTGCCACCGGGGAGGCCCTCTTTCCAGTGATTCTTAAATGGCCATCTAGCATCTACTTAGCCTCTGCTTGGCCCTTACATTTCTGTTGTTTCTTCCTGTCCGCAGAACAATAAGAAAGACACTCAGGACAAGGATAAGCATTTGAAAGTTTCTCACATCTACACACTATCTCTCTTCTATACCCATCACATCAATTGTTTCCATTTCACAGATGAAGAAAATGCACCTCAAAAAACAGTACTTCGTCATGGAAGGGTTAGGTGTCGGGATCTCTGGTTGCAAGTCAGGGCTTTTACTACTGGAAAGAACAGGATGCTTGGGGTTTGCTCTACCTGTGAAACTGCCTCGTCTGAACCTACCTAGTCAGGGCTCAGTTTCCCCGGTCCAGGGGCTCTGTTGGAGGGGTACAACAAAACTATGGAAAGGCCCTTAAGTGCTGAGGAAACCCACTCTGTTCTCTGCCGGGATGTCTGACAGAAAGATACTTAACCTCTTAACCCCCAGGATGGCCAAGGTATTAATAAGCTTCCTAAACTCAGGGAAGTTGTGAGGCTTAATTCTTGCTTGAAGCAGCTTGTAATCCAGTGATGAAAGGTTCTCTTGCATTCTTGGGCCCTCCTAGCTCCTCCTCCCACAAACATGACTCATGAAAAGTAGATGCAGCAAGGAGCAGGGTGGAGAGAAAAGTAAAGATGGCAACTGAGGGGGTGTAGAAAACAGAATAGAGTAAAATGAAGGCAGAGTCAGCGGTTCTAGAATTCCTAGACTGCCCAGAACCACTGGAAGAAGATGTGCAGTTCACTGTGCCTTGTCCCAGACACTCAAAAACGCAACAGGGGTTGCCCCCAGCCTGACCCCAGCCCAGCCCATGCCAAAGAGGAAAGTGGAGTATTAACTTTGGATACGTGCTCTGCAGAGGTCTGCTGCTTTGCTTTGGCTTCTGCTTCATCTTCTTCAGTGAAGATGAAGGACAGATTATTCTGCCCTCAGCCATTTGGACATTTGATCTTAAATGTGTCCCCTAAACTGACGTATATCTTACAAAAATTTTCAGAAAATTGCAGGCTTCTGTATAGTTTTCCCTGCCTTTCTTTGCCTACCATAGCTTCTGACTTTCCCTCTTTCTCTTACTCTAATTTGAAAGAATGACTATGGAAACAGAGGGAAAACACTTCTCAGGGTCGACTCAGCATGAGAGCACCCCAAAATTCTGCCTAACAAAGGAATTCCAGGGTGGAGCTGGAAAAGGGGGAGAATCTGAGGAATAAAAGTGGCCTTTGAAGGCCTTTCAAATCCACACACTGTTGCTATAATAGCCCTTTTTGTTCAGTGCACTGGCGAAGCAACGTTCTTTAGGGAATCCTAGATGCACCTCTCTTCATCCAAATCAGGAAGGCGCCTCCGCTTTGGGCTTTCTGTTCCTTCTTTTTAAAACATTAGCCTCTGAATTAATTGACGAATGTCATCTCCAGGACCCACAGAACACTAGCTTCATTTATATTATGACCTTTCCACTCACTTGAGCAAGATAAATGCACACTCATCCAAGCAACATTTACCAAAGACCTCCCAAGTGCTGGCATATAGGAGATGCTCAATAAGCGTTTGTGCTTCAAAGAGCTGAGGGCCAGGGATCACGATGTGCATGGCCAACTTATGGGGGAAACAATTAATTCAGAGGCTAATGTTTTAAAAAAAGGAACAGAAAGCCCAAAGCGGAGGCACCTTCCTGATTTGGATGAGGAGAGGTGCATCCCAGGATTCCCTAAAGAATGTTGCTCAGTCAGTGCACTGAACAAAAAGACTGGCCAAGTCTCTTTGGGACCCAGAACTTGGCTCCCTCTTCTTGCCAAATTGAGAGCCAGAGAGTTACATCTGCTGAGATATGATGGCTTTTACTAATTCACGCAAGGACATGGTCTAGTTTCCTGGAGCCTTATCTTCCCAGCTAAAAGCCAGTCCCTGGTTCAGACTTGCTCTTCATGGGTACTCCGAAGAATCATGCAGGCCCAGAAGAGAGGAAAATCATCGCAATACAGCTCTCGATTGGTGGATTAAATAAAGTGCTGTATCACTGATTTCTGAGCACAAAACTATCCAGAAATGTTGCCGGTGTCTATTTAATAGAACTGCCAAAAAGCATTTAATTTCTCCATATAAAACACACCCAGAAAATTGAACAAATTTCATCAAAATGTTTAAGTGCCAGAAACGATTCTAATCTAATAAAACATTAAGGCCTTGCGTTGTCTGCCTCACACATGTGGCAGCCCTCCATTAACGACACGGTTGGAACCTCGGTTTTAATTCTTTTGCACAAAATCACCACTTTCGGTTCTGCTGGGAAACCTTTTGGAAGGGTCTCTTTATAAATAAAGCAAGCAATTTCTTAAAATAAAGTTGGCCAGGAGTGCGGTTCCTTCGGGGTCTGGGAGGAATCTTCGGCGATGCAAGGCTGCAGCAGGCTTATACAATCAGCTGTGGTGACAGAATCTGTTGGTGTCTGCGGGCGCGCTGAGTGACAGCAGTGTGTAATCAAAGAGACGCACAGATGCCCGTCAGACGGCGAGAGCACAGAAATAAGCAGCGCAACACGAGGATTTTGGAAACCCAAACGGACCTTGGCACAAAGCACTTCGAAACTGGCATTTTGCAGAGCCTGATCATTTTTGCTTATGGCGTTTGGAATCTAGAAAGGGAAGAGGAAGGCTGAGGACAGGAAAAGGGTGCATTTTTATGGAATGCACCCCAAGCTCCAGGGGCAAAGGGCTTTGCGTGTGGCCTCCTCACTAATAATCCTCATACTCACAATCGGCTGTTAGGTATGATCTGTATCTACGAATGGGAAAACCACATCGTAAGGGGTGAAATAAGCTAGCTTCCCAAAGCCACACAGCTAATAAGTGACAAATCCAGAACTGAACTCCATAGTCTCCCCACTTCTTTCTTTCCAGGCGGAAATCAGGGGGAAATACTTCCTTGCAGTCAACCACCCGGGGCTCTCTCCTCCAGGGTTTCTAAATACAGAAGCTCTCTGGCTACTGCTCTTCACCTCGTCTGCCTCATCAGTC